AAAAAAATAAATTAATACATTGGATATCTTAAACCTTTTACATTTTCCGGATAAATCCTTCTCATTAGATAATATCATTTTTGGGCACTAGATAGTTTTCAGAATTTGTTATTTTTTTTAATAACACTGATTAATAAACGATGTTCGAGGATACACAAGAATGAAAAAACAGATAATAGGAAAATGAGATGTCAGTAGACACCATCATAACATCAAATAAGAAAGAAGCATGAATTACCCACCCCCTTACTTATTTAGCCTCCAAAACGAGAAAGTGATGTAGCCACGATGGAGCATTCCGAGCAATATAAGACTGATGACGCCTATCTCGAGTGACACTGAGAGTAATGGCCGTTGCCGCTTCATTACGTTCCGGAAGAGTATGATCCAAACTCCATAAATCTATCCTTGTCAGAATCCAGAGGATGCTGTGACAAATGTGACTGAGGCTAAGGTGTGCAAGTGGATTTGTCATAACGTCATGTAAGCACTCCGATGAGGTCTCCAAAATAATTTTTGAGAAGTGTAGGTTGTGCAGACATTCCACTGCCCAGTAGAGAGCCCACAAGTCGGCCTCGGTCTTTGTGCGTATGTATGAATAAGCTCGACGACTATGCATGAGTGTGTTTCCTTTGTCATCGCGAAGAATCCATGATGCACCACTCGGCTGATTTGAGTCAATCCATGAAGATCCCACATTACATTTTAGGGATCTATTAGGGGGTTTCCTCCATCGAACCTTATCAATGACCATATCATCCACCTGATCCATCGATTCTGTGAATGTATCGTACCATGCGAGTTCTTTTTCATATGCCTTTCCAGCAATAAAGGAAGACTCCAGAACCTTATTTTTAAAAACAAATGAGTTCCTAGCTTTCCATATTTCCCATAACAACCATGGAAATATTTTTTTGTATGGATATCCAAGGAAGCGCTCCTAGCATTCTTGATTAAATGGACAAAATTTAAGAATGTTGAATTTGTAGAAAAGCCTCCTAAAGGTACTTGGACATTAGCTTGATCCCATATGGCACGTGCTTTCACACATGTGAATAAGATATGACAAATAGTCTCATCCTCATTTCCACAAACTGGACAGGTTGGATCTATCAGAATACCCCGAGTACTCAAACGTTGCTTAACAGCTAAAGCACTTGATAACGCCCGCCACATAAAATGTTTAATTTTTGGTGGAGCTTTTATTTTCCATAAGTCTCGCCATAATTTCTTTTCAATAGGGGTGAGCGATTGCCCTTGAGGGTGATCATAATCCACCAAAGCCTCTAACAATTTATACCCACTACGCGTCGTATATGAACCATTTGGTGTGAATCCCCATCTGATAGAGTCGTCACATACCAATGATGGTTTCAAAAGTAGTATCCTTTGCGTATCCTGAGGCGTAAAAGTCTGCTGTAGTAAATTGATGTCCCATTGGTTAGACCCTGGTCTTAGCAAATCCGAAACATTAAGCGCCAAATTTACAGAACTATTTTCGCGATACATTGGTGGCCGTGGAATAGTGTCAATAATCCAATTCTCATCCCAAACATTAGTGTCAGTTCCATTACCAATATGTCGATATAGACCCTTTTTAAGTAATTCTCTTCCGTGCATGATGCTCCTCCATGCATAAGACGGACATGTCCTCATTCCGCAGTTTAGGAAATCTCCATTTTTAAAATATTTACCTTTAAGGATTCGGGAGACCAACGAATCTGGATTATTCCATATTCACCAAGCTTGTTTCCCAAGCAACGCCTGATTAAAGCGGCCAATATCCTGAAACCCAAGACCCCCTGTTCTTTTGGTTTACATAGCTTTTCCCAAGAAATCCAAGGTATTTTTCTTTTTTTATCCCAACTACTCCACCAAAACTCTATTATCACACTCGTAATTCGTTCACACAAACCTTTTGGTAACTTAAAAACAGACATTGCGTATATGGGTAAAGCTAAAGCCACCGATTTTATTAGAACTTCCTTGGCACCCATTGACAAAGTTTTAGAGTACCATCCCTGTAGCCGGCCTTATAATTTCTCCTTGATAAAATTTAAAAGCGCTGTTTTTGAACCTTGAAAGCATTTAGGGAGACCAAGATATGAACCTTCACAACCTTCTTTTTCGATACCCAAAACCTCTTTGATCATCTGTTTCTGAACATTGTCTATTTTTTTCCCAAAAATGATGGAAGATTTCAAAGGATTAAACATTTGCCCCGATGCATCCCCATAACATTTTTGACCCTTCAAAATTTCTTCACTGTCACTTACAGAGGCTTCACATAGCAATAAGCTATCATCCGCAAACAACAAATGGTGGACAGAAGGGCTACTAGTAGCTAGTTTTATACCATGTAATTTACCTTGTGCTTCCGATCTATTAAGAACATGAACCAAAGCTTCGGCACATAAAATGAATAAAAAATGAGATAAAGGATCCCCCTGACGAATACCTCTTTCTGGTTTAATAAACCCGTGTGAACGTCCATTGAGAAACACCGAGAAAGTTACAGTAGTGATGCATGACATTAACCAAACAACTCATTTCCTATGAAATCAGAATTTGTTTTGGATACCTTAAAAAAATTTACTTATAAAATGATCACCATCAGGTTTGAAGAGGGCTCGATATTTCATTCGTTAAATATGATTCGATTCATTTTTCGTTTTCAGCTGAAAATTTTAAATATCTATAAATTTTCGAAACAATTCAAATATTATAAATCAATATCCCAAATCATAAATACTAAAATTTTGAAAATATGATATCTGCTCTGTCACAACAGATATATATATATATATATATATATATATATATACATATACATATATATATTAATAATATTTATACATATAAATATATAAGTTTATATCATTATTATTCTAACATATGGTTTAATAAACCCTATTCACATTGTACTTATAAAAGTATTAAATAAAACAATTATGACCTTTTCTTAAGTTTAAAATTTACAAAACATGTAATACACTACTTCTTTTAGTTTTTTATTTATATATAATGTAAATACTTATTTTAAGAACAAATTTCTATCAAAATTTTAAATTATTTGTATTAAGAAAAATAGATTAGATATCTGTAAGTATTTATAAACATCCTCAAATATCCATATTTTTATATCCAAAATATATGTATTTTTCCGAAACAAAACAAAAAAAAAAAGTTAGATATCCGTAACATTCGAAGAAAATTGAAAATTTTGATTGCTAGTATTTGATCCATGCCCATCTCTAGTTTGCACTCAGACGATCATTTTCCATAAATTGAACAATGACTCTAAAATTCAACTGTTCTTCCAATCACCTCTAAATAATTCTAATTTGACACTAAAATTATTTGAAAAGCTTCCAAATCTATCCTAAACAATTCTTCATCTATTTCATTTTAATTTTTATTGGTCATTTTAAATTTGTATATACCAATTAAGAATATTTAATTTTTAAATATGAACATTATTCCCAATACACCTAATCATATTTTATCCGATAAAAATAGACTGGATAAATATAAAGAATTATATAACATATAAAATTAACAAATTTAATTTGAAATTTTAAAAACTATATTTATTTTGAAAGGATAATTTTACTTTATAGTGGTAATTAAAATGAAAAGGAAGAAGTAATATATTAAAAATATACCAAAAATCACCATCATCATATTTATTTATGATCATTAATATGTAATTTATTGAGAATATTAAATATGATTGTTACACTAGTAATGTGAACGTCTCCAATACGTGGAAATGGGTCCAGTGATAGAACTTGGGATAGGATTAGGATTAGAAGAAGTTAAGAAATACAAAAAAATCAAGAAACTATGAACCAAAATTCTAGAAACAAGAAAAATTAAAGACACACACCAAGAACAAGAAATAGCATGGGAACTGGGAAGTAAAGCACCTAAAGAGGGCACGTTTAAAGAGGCTGACTCATTAATCAACATTTGTTTCCATGTTAAATATAAAAATTCATTATCATAGTAGATGAATACGAATAATAGAGCATAATCCATACTTATAGTTTGGTGGGCAACCCAACGGGCATTGCTTGGTTGGTCTATTTCAATCTCAGTGATCTATATTTGAGTAGACATTTGTGCAATATCATACGAATACCTTGAATATGAGTAGGTTTGGAAGCGGTTTAGGCGGTGTTATCATATACTAACATTTAATTTCACAAAATCATAAATTCTTTTCAAAATAGACCCGACAAATATATAACGAACATTTTAAAACCCAAAACATGAACGAGAGAAACACAAACGATTACAAATCCAAATCAAATGATACAGAACAAACTAGAAAAGATATATACAAACCATTAAACAAAGTAAAAGACTAAAAGAAGGTAAAAGATATTGGTGAATCCAATGAGCCGACATCTCCGCCTAGGATACCCTTTGATGTCTTCGTCGTCTCTTTGTTTGTTTTCTAGTCAAAACCTTTTTATATACCTAAGCTAGGGAAGCAAAAGAAAAAAAAAAAGCTGAGATCTAGTTAAATTGACTAACTGCATTATTAATGCTAAGATATTTTTAAAGTTATTTCAGAATTATAACAATAATATTTTTCCTTAAATTAAATAAACAATTAAAAATTAAAGGATAAAAAGTTAAACAATAAGAGAAAACATAAAGTATCTTGTGTTTCTTTATTAAGATTCTCAAATAAACATCTCTCTTTCCTTTTTTTATTTTACTAATACCATTGATAAAAAAATCTTGACTCTTAAGTTTATGCATTGCATGTTCATAAAGTATATATATTATTTAAACCATACGTTAGCAACATTACATAAATATTTGTTTAAAGAATAAAAGAAAATATGTACCTCAATTATTTATTTGTAAGAAAACAAATGTTTTTAATTATTTAATCATATATTCCCAACGTCTCTCTGCAACACGCACCACCAAGCGAGAGCTTCTCATTAAACAAAACGCGCAACCAACGCGCGTTTGCTCCACCCTCCGTTGATACGACGTCGTGTCACCTTATACCGTTGACCAAATACGCATGGGTTAACTTATACGTAGTAGAACAGTACATCTACTCATCATCTTCTTCTCTCTCTCTCGTTTCAGTCACAAGACGACTCAACCAACAAAGCAACTTCGCTTCACGAGCTCAAACCTTCTCTCTCTCTCCTTTTCTTATCTCCGTGACGCATTTGTTTCTCGAGCTGTCTCGTTTTTCTCAGAAACTTTGGTCGGTGATGGTGATTAATAATAATAAGTCGAAGAGCAGATGAAAGTCACCGGAAAGCCGTATCAGACGGCGACATTACCGAACTCAAACTCCGAGACTAATCTTTTCACTAACCCTCCAGATCTCAGGGCTTTACAGAGAGCTACCACAGTCACTAAACGCAGAGCGAGGAACCCGAGCTTGACACGTCAGCGAAGATCCGCCGTTCCCGGCGGGAGAAGAAGTCGGCCGGAGACTCCTCTTCTGAAATGGAAGGTCGAGGATCGGAAGACAGAGAGAGGCGGCGTTGTTGTTGAGGAAGACGATGATTACGAGGATGAGAGAGAGGCTACTTCACGGCGCAAGGATCGGAGGAAAACAACTCGGCCTGTCTCGGTTAGGAAACTCGCCGCAGGGCTATGGCGGTTGCAGGTTCCCGACGCGGTGGTTAGCGGCGGAGGAGAGAGAAAGGTGAAAGAGGGATTAGGGTTTCAGGTAATTTCTTAATGTTTTTTTTTCATGTTTTCTTGAAACAGCTGTCTTTAGTGAAGATCTGATGTGTGTTCCTGTCTTAAAAAGCTTTAATCTTTGTTGTTCCCCTGCAGGGAGGTGTTCCATACCTTTATCACCACAGTGACAAACTTTCTGGTGGTTCGAAGAATAGGATGAGGCAGAACCCTAGCACTATTGCTACCACAAAGAATGGATTCTTGTGTTCGGTGTGTTGGTCATCTTCTTAATCTTCTAAGTGTATTTATGTTGTTAGCTAAACGAATAGATGTATGTATAACATAGGAGATAAAATACTTTTGGTTCTTGGTAGTTTGAGTTGGTTCTTAATAGTTCAATGAAGCCTTGGTCAGTCTTACCTTTTGGGCAATGGGTATAGTTAAAGCTGTGAAAGTCTTAATATAATTGGTACCATGGATATATATGCATATAACTCTATACATTTCTTCTGTTCAGGGCACGCTTTGAGATCTATAGGGCTTGAATCAATCACGGTCTAGAGGCTAAATGATCAATCAATACATATATTTTTCTTAATCATTTTGAGGATCCAATAATCTAACACATTAACCACTCAAATTTTGAGTGCTAAGAAGAATATTTCATCTTTCTTTGCCCAGGTCCTTATTTTGTTTGGTTTTTCTTGTTTGGATTATTTCTTGACTTCAAGTCTCTATTACTTTTTTTTGTCAGCTCGAGCCTTCAATGCCATTTCCTCACTCGGCGATGGAAGGGGCGACAAAGTGGGATCCTGTCTGCATGGATACAATGGAGGAAGTACACCAAATCTACAGCAACATGAAGCGTATTGATCAACAAGTGAACGCTGTGTCATTGGTCACATCCCTTGAAGCAGAGCTAGAGGAAGCACACGCTCGCATAGAGGATCTCGAGAGCGAGAAGCGGTCTCACAAGAAGAAGCTTGAGCAGTTCTTAAGGAAAGTCAGTGAGGAGAGAGCTGCTTGGAGGAGCAGAGAGCACGAGAAGGTCCGAGCAATCATCGACGACATGAAAGCTGACATGAGCAGGGAGAAGAAAACACGTCAGAGACTAGAAATCGTTAACCATAAACTAGTCAACGAGCTTGCAGACTCGAAGCTAGCAGCGAAGCGTTACATGCAAGACTATGAGAAGGAAAGGAAGGCAAGGGAGTTGATTGAGGAAGTGTGTGATGAACTTGCTAAGGAGATAGGAGAAGATAAAGCTGAGATCGAAGCGTTGAAGAGAGAGTCCATGAGCCTTAGAGAAGAAGTAGATGATGAGAGAAGAATGCTGCAGATGGCTGAGGTTTGGCGTGAGGAGCGTGTTCAGATGAAGCTTATTGATGCCAAAGTAGCGTTAGAGGAGAGGTACTCACAGATGAACAAGCTTGTAGCAGGTTTGGAGTCTTTCCTTAAGTCAAGAGATGTTGTTACAGATGTGAAGGAGGTGAGAGAGGCAGAGTTGTTAAGAGAAACCGCTGCTTCTGTTGATATCCAAGAGATCAAGGAGTTTACATATGAGCCTGCAAACCCGGATGATATCTTCACTATGTTGGAAGAAATGAATCTTGGTGAAGGTCAAGATAAAGAAATGGAGAAACCTGTTGCTTACAGTCCAAAAGGGAGACATTCAGATGCTCTTACTCACCAGAATGAAGAAGATGATAGTGGTTGGGAGACAGTGAGCCACGTGGAAGAACAAGGGTCTAGTTACTCGCCAGATGGAAGCATACCTTCAGTGAACAATCACCATCACCGAGAGAGCAACGCCTCAAGTGGTGGTACAGAGTTCTTAGGCAAAGGCTGGGATGAGACAATGATGACTCCAACAACAGAGATAAGTGAAGTATGTTCTGTTCCAAGACGGTCATCCAAAAAGGTTTCATCAATAGCAAAACTGTGGAGATCATCAGGTGCAAGCAACAACGGAGATAGAGATAATAACAGCTTCAAGGTAATATCAGTGGAAGGTATGAATGGAGGAAGGGTTTCAAATGGAAGGAAATCAAGTGTGGGAATGGTTTCATCACCAGAGAGAGGCTCAAGCAAAGGCGGGTTCAGCCCCATGATGGATTTAGTTGGACAATGGAGCTCTTCACCGGAAGGTGGAAGCCATCCTCATGTGAACCGAGGAGGGATGAAAGGTTGCATAGAATGGCCTAGAGGTGCACAGAAGCATAGTTTGAAAGCAAAACTCATTGAAGCACGAATCGAAAGCCAAAAGGTTCAGTTGAAGCATGTCCTTAAGCAGAAGATATAGATGACACAACCAGATTGCAGTTCTGCTGTGTGGTTTCTCTGATCTCTCACCGGGCTGTGATTCTGTATGAAGTAATAATGTTCCGGTGAAAGCAGTCAGAAGCCAGCAAAAACGGTTTAGACCGGAGTTTTAGATTATGTATGTTATTTGGTCCTTAGCAAATTAAGCAAACTGTGTACTATAATATTGTTATCTCATCTTTATGGAAGATAAACCTTTTAGCAGAGTAAGACAGGCTATTGTTCCTTAAAACATATTCATCAGATTATATAATATATAGTTAGTTTCCCACAAAAATGCAAGCACTTTATGGTAGAAGTTTATATTTCAACATTTTACCAGTAAGAAAAATTTACAACACATTTATTAAATTTTATAGTCAAATCTGTTGAATTATAATTACAATTATTTTGTTGTGTTTTCTGAACAAGAATTATGTTGCTGTTATTTTCTAAACATATGTTATATTTAGCACTCCATGGTGGAGATTTGAAAGCTACCATTAAAATTTTAAAAACTTATTACAAATTTGATTACATAGTCAAATTTCTAGCATAATAGTTGTAACTTTGTTGGTGTTATTTTCTAAAATGTTGTTACATTTTAAAATCATTAAAAGAAATATTATGTGCTTGGTGGTAAAAAAGAAGAACAATTCTAATGTCCCTGCAGTAAAAAACTAAAAGCTGCTCTGACTCTGACTGAACATGTGTGGAATGTTTGTATTTTGAACCAAAAGAAGAGGAAGACAAATACGTCCAAACTTTCATGACATTATTGATGAGACAACAATGATGCTCCTCCTGAAGAGGATGCATCTATAGTAAGAAAAACAACAGAAGATGAATTGACAACAGACTGAATTTGAATTTGTTGACAAGATAAAATTAAAATCAATCGAATCATTCCCTTAATGGTATTCTTGAAAGTTGACATGACCAGTTGCTTGAGCATGCTCCACAGCTTCCTGTTTCAGTTACATATTTGAACAACTCAATCTCTATTGATCTATGAAGCAAAAATAATGTCAAGTAGTTCCATGAGAGATTAAAAAAAAAAAGACAATGACCTTTTGTCCAATAACTCCAATTTGGCAAACACCACAACGCAGAGTGAAGTTTGCAGTATCTGTGTAACTCCTTTTCCTGAAACATATAAACCAAACTCATAAGGCCTTACTCTTCTTTCCATAAGCCACCATAACACAATAGTCTATAGGTAACACCTTAACTACTATTACCTTTGTTGGTCCTTTACTAGATTTAAAACAAGCCCTTCTATAGCACCAATGGATCTATCTTTACCAACCGGAAATATAGTCATATCAAAGTCTTCCTCCGCATCTTCAAATGGAGACAACTACAAAAATTTGCAACAAGGAAAAATAATTAAGCTACAAGCTTGTTTATCAACCTACCTTCTCAAATGGAGTATATATATCAACTTACAGCGAGAGCATCATAATGAAGACCGTCATAGATCAGCATAACTCTTTCGCTGTAGTTTTTCGTCTGCAAAATAGAGTAATAACTACTTATCTTTGCAGAACTTGAATGTTTGAGAGTTAGATGGTACCTGTCCATACAAGTCACATCGACTAGTTTGAATATCATAAGCTCCAATTTCTCGACCATAATAGTCTGCTAATATTGAAAGCTCAATCGCACCTAACACACAAAAAAAAACAAAGAGACACTGTTATCAATACATGAAACTTTGTAAGCATATCATGAACCAAAGAGACATTGAAAGGCAAAAGAGATACCTCCCCACTTCTCCGGGTTGAGAATCCAGGCACAGTATTCTTCATTAGGCTTCCCTAGAAATGCTTCGTTATATTTCTCCTTGTCGCTTGCAACTGCTGCAGCTATCACCTAAGCATAACAGAACAGCCAGGCCCAAGTTAACGTCTTATCGTCGAGAAATTACCAAAGCTGATTGCTTCAAATACTCAATTCATCTGGGAAAATCATTAATCTACCCTATGTATTACTACTTTTCAAATGTTTTCAAGTGAATATAAACAATATGAGATAGGCTGTATAACTACAAACTCAAAAGAAGAAGCTAAGCACTGAGTGCAGCTAGATGCAAGAAGCTTAGGATAGATGAAGAAAACCTGTCTTAACTCAGGAGCTTTCTTCTTGTCCTTGTCCATAACATAACTGTAAAAAAAAATGAGAATCCTCAGAAAAATAAACACAAGCCTCAAAACATCTCTTTTTGACTTTAAAAAAGAAGCTTATTATTATTACCCGATTGCGTTGAAGAGACAACTGTTGTCAGATGGTATAACTCTTCTCACAATGATTCCTTCCATGATATAATCTCAAAATAGCAAGAAAAAGCGTAAACTTGCATTCCAAAAAAAAAAAAAAACTCAATTAGTCCATAGCTGTTTCATTTAACCAAAGAACCATCAAGAAAGCAAGTTCTTTTTTACTCAGTGAAGAAACGTAATTGGATAATAAAACTTGGAAACAAAGCTATAGAATGAAGAGTCTTGATTCGATCTAATATATCATCATACACCAAAGTATTAGGCAAACCAAATCAGATCCATAAACCACAAAGTTCGAGAAATGAAAATGTAAACGAGAATGAAGACCAAACGCGACTAAAGCAAACAACTTTCAATCAGAAACATGTTGTTGGATCCACCTAAACCCAGAAGCATCATAACACGATGAAAGTTTCTTTCAAAAAATAAAAGATGAAAGTTAGATAGGAAAGGACTCACCGTTGGGGCAGAGAGAAAGAGAGAGAGATCTGATTCTGGAAAATTGAGAAATACAATTTAGATTTATGGTGGTTGCCACTTACTTTTGCCTATTAGATTACTTGCTTCCTTTCGTCTCGTTACGTAAAGACAACCCCAAGAAACCAAGAAAAGAACCATTTTAACTCTTTTTTCCTTTTCAGTCGTAATTTTCTTGATAATAAAAACTCTCTTACACGATTTATGACATTATTTTCTTCTTCATATTTTACTCTTTTTTCTTAACTATCAAATCACAAATATCTTTATAATTACTTAAACATTCAATTTAAAAAAAAAATATCCTTCAGATTATAAATAATATTCCTTCTAAATCATAATCTTAAATAACATAAAGTATATTTTAAAGAAACAAGATATATTCTTGGGTGATTTAGCTCAAAATACCAAAAGAAGTAGATATTTAGGGATTTGTCATATTTTAGGGGGAAAAATTAATGATGGGGAAAAAAAGAGAAGAGAGAAATAGGGTATGGAGCTAAATAAGGTGTTTTGTGTGTGTATAGAGTGCAAATACTCTATATTCTTTATATGAAGACTATTTTCTTAAATAATTAAAATAACATAAAATGAAATTGCTTCAATGAACTAAAAATATAACAGAATTAATATTACTGAGATGTTTTATTTATGTTTTGATCAATAATATTTTGTTAGCTTTTAAATTTTACTCCAACTTTTACATGGCACAAAATTTTACTCAGATTTTATTTACTGAAATTGTAACGTTTTTTTCTTCTTCATATTTTACTCTCTTTTTTGTTGCTACCAAATCACGAATATGAATAAAATAAAATAAAATAAGACGTTAAGCTATTCAATTCCACCATTAAAAATTAAATAAATAAATAAAACAATGAATTTATAATTTCTTTACCAATCAGTAAATTTCTACCGAATGTAAACTGCATCTTGAACTTTTAATTTTATATAAGACAATAATTCATAAATTTCAAATTAAAATTTAAAATATATCATTTTCATTTATTGTTGTTATATGCGGCTCAATAAAAATTCCACAACCCACAATGAATTATGCCAACGATTCTCACTATTTCATCAGATGTTGTTCCAACCAAAAAAAAATTTCATCAGATGTTGTTTTGATTTCCTTTAATTTTTTTGGATCTTTTTGCAGAGTGTTTCAATTTGCAATTTGGCATCGGTGGAGCTAGTGGTATCAAACTTCCTCTCTTACCCTTTTGTTCGTATATATTAAAAAAGCAGTGATAAGATGAATTGATTTTTTACCAACTGAATTGGTTTTATATTAGTTACCAATCTTATTAAGTATTAAAGTTCAAAAAGTACACTATGACATCTAAACAAAACAAAACAAAAACTCTAGTTTAGTTATAAAATAGAAAGTCCCTAAGAACAAAGTAGCTATTGGATTTTAACACCAAACAGCATAAACCCTCCTTTGTTCTCAACTGATTTTGTTTCTTCTTCTTCTTCTTCTTCTTCTAGCTTCGAGTTAGAACTGTGATTAACAGTCTCGTTTACTTCATCATCATGGACAACAGAACAGTCGTCTGAAGAGCAATGAACATCGATCATCATGAAGTTCTTGCTTCCACCTTCTAATGTTGGAACATCACAAGTGTAAAAAGTGATCACATCTTTCTCCTTAAGGCTCTTCTCCTTGACGAAACCATTCCATCCTCTGGTGAAAACAAAGCTCTGACTACTTTTCCAGTAACAGTACCTAAACTTCCATGGTCTCATCTCTCTGTCATAAAACACAACCTCAACATCTTCTCCTATCCCTCCCTCTTCTCTCTCATCTCGATCATCTTTTAAGAAAGGTAAATACTTCACGGCATACTTCTTAGGTATCACAAGCCTGTTGAGCTTCCCAACATCGCTTGGTGTCAGCTCCTTTCGGAACAGCTCTGTCCACAAGAAACTCTTGTTTGATTCTTGATCACCCCCTCTTGCTCCTGGGACTTTTCTTGATCCAAATATGTTGTATCTTGCGACAATCTTAGGTTGGATTTTTCTGAGGAATTCTCCATATTTGCGTTGGTAAGAACAGTCTTTGATCATGTTCAATACATCTTCTGTTGTGTGCTCGTTCTGAAAGGCCGGTTCGTGGACCGTGAAGTCAGTCCAAGGGAAGTTCCGGTGCGTGTTAGCATCGTAGCTTCGGATCTTGATGGATGCGCTATCGTAAGCAGCAGCGGCTTCAGCAGCAGATCTGAAAGTGCCGAGCCAAATCCTTTTGTGGTCTGCGTATATCTGAGCGCCCCAGTGACCGTTCTGTTGTTGAACTACTCCCTTATACTTTGTTTTGCGCACACCTTTTGTTGTCGCAACCTCTAGGGCATTGTTTGGTGCGTCGCAAAGATATCCGATGCGTTTCTTGATAGGCAAGAAACTACCGTTTGAGACTGATGAAGAAGTCTCTGTCTTTGCGTCTTCTTCTTTATTCATTGAAAGTAACTCGCGCATCCATAAACCAAAAGTCACAGAGAGAACCAAAAGAGAACGGTAAAGAGAGATAAGGATGAAATTGAAGGAAGGAAAAGAATTAAGATTTGTAGGATCGAGAATTGTGGTAGCGTACTCAGCAAGTAATAAGTTTCCGTTTTTCTTTTGTTTTTGTTTCTATAATTTGCCGATGGAAGATATTGGTATTTACAAAATTTCCTTTTTGCTAAAGAGACTAAAATCAGTTACCTTTTTAGTTGTTAGCATTAATATTGGTATATTTGATTGAGAGAAAAAAGTAACTACACCATCCGTTTAACAAAAAAAAATGTCACCGCCGTTAACAAAATAAATTAGGGCCATTGACAAAAACATATTATGTGGTGAATATTTTTTACTTCCTAGATTTTTTAACATGTTAACTAAAAATAAGTGATCTTACTTCCTTTATCTGTTTCTTGTTTCTGATTGGTTATACTAATACTTTTTTTTTGGTAAAAGCAACTTATTAAATTTTAATGTTAGATTGGGAAATAATACTTTCTAACTATTTATGATGTTTTAGAAAAATCACACGAATAAAGAAATCTACATAACGTGAAAGCCTTAGCCGATGGCTTTGATAGCACCAGCGCTAGGATTTATAACTTAAGATTTCTAATTAACTTTTCTCTGTTGAGATACATAATTCTTTTTTGTTTTGAAGATTATCATAATTCACTTTTTTCAGGACTCAAAACTCAGATAATTTGATGTAGAATCATTAAATGAACTCTTATTTAAACCACTAAATCAAGAAGGCTTATTTATATAGTTGGTTTCAAGTCACCATCTATACTATTAAAAGAGAAAGAGTTTAAATAAATCTACTTAAAAAAGTTTTTTGGATCTTTTCATTAGACTAACTTTTTTTTGGTCTTCCCTTATATTTCTCTAACTATATAAATACTTTACAATTTAAATAAACTCATTTATTATTTTTCATAATCTATTATAAAAAATTTCTAACAATACGTATTCATGATACTATAACTATGACACTTTGGTTTAATTAATTATATGTAATCATTATTAAATTTTGATATTGCATTCTTATACAAGAACTAAATGATTAATTTTATGATATATAAAAATTATAAGTTGAGATTCAAACGAAATTGGTTAAAAAAATTGATTTAAATAAGATATGTTTATTTATTTTACATGATATATTTTTATTTAATTTTAAATGTAAACTAGCCTACGATTTAAATATCAGAAAGGTTGAACATTTTTAATAAAAATATTCAGATAATTCATTGATTTGTCTAATTTGGTTTAAAATAGTATTTTAGGTTATTTAATATTTAGATATTATCTAATTAATATTTGTAGGTATATAATTTATATATAAAAAATTTAAGTATCCATTTGGTTCTCGGTTCGATTTCTATTTTTAGATTCTAGACATATATGATATAATCAATTATTAATGAAATTTGGCTTAATTTAAATCCGTTTATTTTTTTTTTAGTTTCTCTTAAAAATTAAGTACCCATTTGTGCATAGTCAAAAAATAGAAACCATGCTTTTCAATGGATTAATAACAATATTTTGATTTAAAGATATTTTTATCATATTCGTTTTATTAGTTTTTACAAAACTGAAATAAAATAATAGAACAAATTTTAAATAGTATAGCTATCTAATAATAGACATAAAATCATTATATATTTGATTTTACGGTCAATAAAAATATAAGAAGGACAGCTCAAAATCTAAATTACTCTATCTGTAAGTTAGTTTATTACGGCCAACTATCTAATTTACCTTAATTATATCAACCGAAAGAAGCTAAACTACACCTACTGTACTTATATTTTCTACTATGGTTTTGAGAAACCTAAATTGATTACAAAATATTTTTTCATATCTTCTGTTAATCTAAATCAACAATAACCTTCTCCTTTCATAAATATACAAGTTATATCGGACTCCGTTTACCATCAACTCAATCAAATTCAAAAACACCATCAAAATATCTGTTCCAAAATATTTAGCTTTACGGTCAACAATAAAAATATTCGCGTTTCTTATGCACGGATCAAAATCGTTATAATTAACATAAGACACGCGACATGGTAAGGTCTTACTGAAACTACATGTTATTAGAAACAGGTTGTGTGTCAATATTGCTCGAAGTTACATTCCTTAGCTGCTTAGCCAACTCCATGTGTTGTTTGTCCAGATGACTGGCCCAGCCCAAGAACTGTCAACGCAAGCACTTCAATTGGAGTAAAGATCTTAACCTGCGCATATAAGGGAAAAAAAAAAGACGATATGTTTATGAAATCATTTGAGAGAGAAAACAAAAAAAATAATCGTCCTTACGAGATTTTTTTTTGGTAACTGAAATCGTCGTTAAGAGGTTTACATATGAAACGTGTAACGTGAAGCCAATGTATCTTCGTACATACATTCTTTGACATGATTAGCTTAATTACTGATCATCTAAATTAATTTATCCATGTGAATATATAATCATATATGAAGTTATGTTCCAAATGTGACTATGCACATATGCACTCTTGTTCCAAATGTGATTATATAGACAGCAATTTAATATTGTGTTGAAGAATCTAATACAATTGTGTCCAGGTATTAACTATAAAATGGTACATGAGACACGGAAATTTTGGCTGACGATCATTTACTACACTAGATGGTTATGATCCTAGACCATCCAGAAATATAATTGTTTTTGGATAGAGCATGCCACGAAAGTAATTTTAACAGATTTTTACTGGTTTACATTATTTGGTTTGTGAAATTGAGAGAGAAGAGATAAAGAGAAGATAGACCAAGCCTTTAATTTATTTTGAAAATTAAATTTCCACAAAACCGTCATAATTTGATTTCCAAATTTATATTTATTATTTTCGATGACAAATTGACAAACTTTATATATTGACAATAAAAAAATCGACAACTATATATATATCTATTTGATCTATTGGATCCTTACACCAAACAACATAACCCCTCTGTTGTTCTCCTCTGGTTTGGTTTCTTCTTCTCCTAACTTCGAGTTAAAGTTTTCTGGTTTCATTACATATTCAGAATTGTTATGAACTGTCTTGTTTACTTCCTCATCAGTGACCACAGAGTCGTTGTCTGAAAAGCGATGAACATCGACCATCAAGAAGTTTTTGCTCTGACCATCTAATGTCGGAACATGACAAGTGTAAAAAGTGATAACATCTTTCTCCTTGAGGCTCTTGTCCTTGACGAAACCAATCCATCCTCTGGTGAAGACAAAGCTCTGGCTACTTCTCCAGTAACAATACCTTAATTTCCATTGTCTCATCTCTCTGTCATAAAACAAAACTTCAACATCTTCTACTATTTCTCCTTCTTCTCTTTCGCTTTGACCATCGCTTACAAAAGGTAAATACTTTACTGCATACTTCTTGGGTATCACAAGCCTGTTTAGTTTCCCAACATCGCTCGCTGTCAGTTCCTTCTGAAAGAGCTGCGTGCATGAGAAGCGCTTCTTCGATTCTTCATCTTTTCGGTTCTGTTTTGATCCCACGACAACCTGAGAACGGTTTTTGAGAAACTCTCTGAACTCGCGTTGGTAAGAACCGTCTTTGATCATGTTCAACACAGCTTCTGTCGTGTAGCCTTTTTGAAACACCGGTTCTTGGACCGTGATTTCAGACAAAGGGAAGTTCCTGTGTGAGTTAGCATCAAAGCTTCGGAGCTTGATGGATGCACTATCGTACGCCATGGCTGCTTCAACAGCTGATTTGAAAGTCCCGAGCCAGATACGTTTGTGGTCAACGTATATCTGAGCACCCCAGTGACCATTCAGATGATGAACAACTCCTTTGTATTTTGTGTTGTTCGAAAAAGAAACCTGCTTTATAGGAGTGGAGACAAGTGCATTGTTGGTGGGTGGTTCGTTAAGTCTCATCCGTTTCTTGAGAGGTAAGAAAGAGTCTCTTGTGCTAATTAAAGTCTCTGACTTTGTAACGTCCATTGGAATAGCAGAGGATACTAGAAACATGGCGAGAAAGAGTGTGTTGAATGAAAAGGAAGCAAGAGAAATACAATGTAGAGCTCAGAGATGTTCGAATAGCGTAAATCTTAGGAAGTCAGTGCTATGTTGTTGCTGTGTTGCATGAGCAGTGGTATGTATTTATAGGAATGAGGCTACCCTTCGGAATATTGCATTTTTAAAAGATTTTCCTTTTTTCTATAGATTTTCCATTTTTCTATAGATTTTCCTTTTTTGGTAACACTTGTTACCTTTTTTAAATAGTTACTAAAGAGCAGCTGAAAAATGAAAAGTAACGTTAGTGTTTTATGTTATTTTCTCATCCCACGTGTCGTGTTTGTTTAGTTTCCTTTTGTTAATTTATTTCTTGTTTCATGATTGGTTAAACTATAATATCTCTCAGACAAACGAGAAACTCGACAATTTTCATTTTACAAAAAGCCTGAAGTAAAAATAACAAAAGGAAATTAAACAAAATAAAACCATTGCATTTTTTAGGCAATTTTCATTTTTCATGTTGTAGAATTATCGAACATTCCACTGGTTTTTTTTTGTCGACGAATATTCCACTGATTTAATAGTAAGAATTTAATCATTTTCTTTCTTTTTTAACTCTTCCCTTTTTGTCATCTTTTTTACTCTTACGGTCTTACCTTACCACTGTGATACACTATTTGTTTGTTTATTTCCTATTATCGAATTATTGCGCGGATAAACCCCAAAACCAAGTTTTGAATGATATTTCATTAACCCGGTAGATTTGAACAGAACGAAACCAATTTTGTTGTTGTTCTGTTTAGAAGTTGGTTCATTTCGACAATTAAATAAACTTCAGTTATCAATTATGTTCAGTTCTGTTTTTGTAATTGGTTATTTCGTTTAAAAAAAACACACAGAAATGTATCAATTTTAACAAAAATTTCGCACCAAACTAAACCAATCTAACCAAATGTTGGTATCGATCTAACCAAAATAATTAAAACTATCTAAGTTTTAAATCAAATGAAACTGAAAATTAATTGTAACCAAACAAAATTTTCAGTTCAGTTTGACACACTTTAAAGCGAGCCAAAATCATCAAAAATCGAATTATAAAGAGTATTTGCATACAAAATCTCATCTTTCTTAATTGTATGCAAAACTTTCACCAAAGTTTCCATCTTTCGAGCTATGGGAAACTGCTTAGCCAAGAAACATGGCTTGGTAATAAAACGTCAACAAACACACAGAAAGATCAGTCGAGATCGAGAACAGAGGACACTGTTCTACACGCTGAGCAAAAGAACTGGGTCGAGGCCAGTTCGGAGTAACATATCTCTCCACAAAGACTTTCACAGGGAAGAAACTCACATGCAAAATCGATCTGTACGAAGAAACTCGTTACAAGATTTGATAAAGAGACTGAAGAAGCCCACATGCAAAATCGATCTGTAAGAAGAAACTCGTTACAAGATTTGATAAAGAGACTGAAGAAGCCCACATGCAAAACTCAACGATATTCGACACTCCTTTTCGCCTTTTTTAACTTATAGATCACTTTGGAAACAGGTCATCACTGAGAATATTGATACAGAGGAAATACAAGGCTTAAAGGAGATGTTTGCTAATATAGATACAGACAGTAGAGGCACAATCACATATGAAGAATTGAGAGAAGGATTAGCCAAATTGGGAAAGTCAAACAGCTCATGGATGCTGTAAGTTTTGATCAAAAACTTGATCTTCAATTTACTTGAAAGTTGTAAAAAGTCACGTTTTTGGATATTGTGATTCAGGCTGGTGTTGATGGAAATGGGTCAATGGGTTACATAGAGTTTATTACTGCAACAATGCATAAAAATAGGCTTGAAAGTTTGAAAGTGATGAAAACATTTACAAAGCATTTCAAAATTTTGACAGAGGTGGGAGTGGGTAAGTGATCTTTGTTTGTTTTGATATGAAGCGAAATAGATTCGTGAAGTGGGACTCTCTTGAAATATGTGGATAGATAAATTACGATATAAGAGCTAGAAGCTGCTTTGAAAGAATATGAAATGGGAGATGACGCCACAATCAAAGAGAGTTGGTCTGATGTACTCTGATAATGGAACTCTCTATTTCCTCTCGCGCTTAACTTGATATGTCTTTGTTTTAATTTCTCAAATCCCTAATGTTCTTAACAGATGGTAGAACAACTATGAAGAGTTTTGTGCAATGATAAGTGGGAACGGACAACAACCAAGATTGTTCTAAAATGTTTTTCTTTTTGTATCTAATCCAAGAAGACGAGCTGTAATTATTGTTTAGGCAAAACTCAGAGGCTTTGTTGTGAAAGAACAAGAAGAGACAATTTGTTTCAATTTTAAAAGTTCTGTTTGGTTACAGTTTCAACCGGTAATGTCGTTTGTTCTGTGACGGTTTAAACCATACTAAACATAACCGAGCTTCTGTATAAAAATGCAAGTAGATTTTAACAAAGCTACATACACTGGATGAAACATTCATATGGATGTATTTTAAATCACACTGACCTTTTCTCACATAAAGATTTTTGTTTATGTCATAATGTTGTTGGTAGGCGAAATGACGTGTAAGAAATGTAGCGATCAGGCATGAGCTTTCAGGTCCATTTCTACTTGATGGATTGTCCATTGCATGTTTTCCAGTTTCTGCAGCAACAACAAAGTTCTCATTATCATTGTGTTATTGCATTTCCACATGTCGAGTATATAATACAGGTTTAGTAATGTAATTTAATGATTCCTTATTTTTCATGTAATAATATACCTTAACAATGTCATGGTATTGTCTCGCAATTGTATCAAAATGCGGATCTACCCCTTGATATTCTCTCAGCCGTGTTACCTGGTTGTTTTGCAGGCTTTGGTTAATTTATTGGATATGATCAACGAAGAAGAAAGGGATAAAAAAGGCTTAAAGTTAATCAATGAGAGAGAAGACAAGACACAAACCGCTTTGTTGTATGCAGCTGAAGCTTCTTCAGTAGCCTCGACTAGATAATTCCTAGAAACAAAATTAGAGGTTTGAGCGGGGCTTCATGAGTTCATGGTAAGAAATACACTTTTGGAAAATTTTGATTTCTTTACCTGATGCTGTGCAAGGCTGGTATGGATTCAGGGGTGTATGTCTCAAGTAAGAGAATATGTTCTAAAACCCTTCAAGCAAAGGAAAAAAAATAACAGATTAGTTACTGCAATAGTCACAAATTTAGATTCTAAGGATGAACGTAATACCTTAATTTTGCGCTCATGGTCTCACACCTTTTACACAACCACGTCTTCTGCATCTCATCCTGTGACAATATATAAAGTTCAAGTAAGATGAGAATAAGGGAGAAGCAGACTCAATTGGAAAAGACTGAAACCGCTTACATATTTGTGTTGGTGTTCTAACTTCAGATCCTTTACAAGCTTTATAAGCACCCCGAGTATTTGTTCCAGGACCTTGTTCAGAATAAAAACAAAACAGTCATCAGAACTTAGTAGCACTAGGGGCTACAAGGAATACTCATAGGCAGTAGCATTGAGATAGATGCAGAAACTTAAACTCTGATTTTATACTTTTTTAAATATCAGAAAATAGCCAGGTAATGAGGTTTTCGTTTTGCATAATGCATTATCAAATTCCTTTTCACCTACATTGTAATATTCTGCAAACTTCCTATCAGCAGAATAGAGGTCCTCTCGTAGAGCGGCTTCTTCTCTTTCTATCTCCTCGATTATAAACTTAACCCTGGAAATGCAGAAAGACATTATGGTGCTAGAGTGAATCAGAGGATGAGTAAGCGTGATAAAGTCATCTGATCCGTCAAGATTTTCGGATCAACTTTACGGATATAATAACTTAAGAAAGGTTCTTATTTCTTGGCATAGAACTACCTCGTGTATGCATGTAAGACACATTACGTAGATACACATACCTAGACAGAGGAGTAGCTAACAGTCTAAATATAAGGAAAGCAAGTTTTTTCTTCTAAATGTTTCTAGCTATTGTTAAGCCTCAGTGGTAAGGCTAACCTTTCTGGGAGCCTAGCACTTGAATTTTGATTTCCAGTAGATGAATCTGTCATTGACGTAGACAAACAGGAAAATAGGGTCATTACGTGCAGTGCAACTTAACATAAAGGACCACGTATCGCACAAACATCGCCCTTAAGAGTATGCTGGTGATAAGATCTTACCAGTGTCATCAACAATGGCATCAGCCAACTTATCACACTTGTCCTTCAATCGACCTTCTATCTCACGAGCAAGAAACATTTGGTAGTCAGCCATATCCTAAGCAAATGTTAACAAGAGGAAACAAAAATTAAAGACCAACAGATATGTAATCCCCAATCTATTATAAGAACATAAGAATTGGTGAACAAAACAGATGAAGGCACAATTAAAATTAGGAAGAGACCATTACGAGACACAATATGATCTCACAGTACCATGGTCATATTATTTTGGAGCTGGACATATGAGAGATAAGCAGGTGTTATTCCAAGAAAGCGATTCGGCACACCACCAACTCCGTCAGCATCAGCAGCACTAAGACCGGTCCCACCAGTAACAACGCTGTTTGCAGAGCTATTCAGATAGTTCACCGAGTTAGAAGTGGAGCTGATAGTAAAACTCGTGGCTGCACTGTCTAGAGAGCTTCTTGATAGCATACTCCACTTTTCGATCTCTTCCTCATGAATTTCACCATCATCTGAAATAAGAGGTAGCCTCAGTTTCTGAGCTGCCTCAGCAACCACCAATCTATGCTCTAGAGTCTCATAAACCTGAAAGAAGAAAAAAAAACAAAGATTGCTCACAAATGAGTCTAAGATATTACAAAATCACTTAAATTTTTTTAGATTAGAGACCTGAGGAGAGTTCTTCAAGCCGAGTTGAGGGTAAAGACCCTGAACATCCCGAGTACCTCCTCCATGGTTAGCCACTGAAAGAGCTTGCTGATATTCTTCTACCATAGCTACAGCTTCACAATAGATAGCCTACCATTTTCAATCACACAGTCAA